TTTTTTTTTTTTAAATATTCGTTTCGAAAACGACTTTTTTCGGCGACGACACGGCGTTCTCATCGGCATCAAGAAAAAAAAAAAAAAAAAAAAATTGTAAAATTACTTTTTCAATCGTTTTTTTTTTTTTGTTTTCGATACTATCGCGATTCTGTACATACACGGGGGGTTCACTACCGCGGTACTAACTGTCCGGCTTGTGATAATCTACTACTAGGTAATAATTAATATTGCTAATTGCTGTTTTTGCAAATGCCCAACATTTTGGCCGCGTCTTCGGGCGATTTCGTCTGCAGCACCTGATCGATGACCGTGTTGTCACGGATGCCCAACAACGTGCCAATCAGGCCGGTGTCGGCGCCACCGCGGTTATTGTTGTGGCGGTCATCGTAACCACCACCACCGCCGCTTCCACCTCCTCCGCCGGACGCCGAAACCACCGGCGGGCTCGGACTCCTCGACCTCGGTTCGTAATGCTCGTGTCCGCCGGCGCCGGCGCCGCCGCCGCCGTGCTTTTTGGCTATGTGCCGGACCATGCTGTGCTTGAGCGTGAACCGGCGCTTGCACGACTGGCACGCGAACGGCTGTTCTTTGGTGTGGGTGCGCATGTGACGGCGCAAATCTTCGGCCGAGTAGAAACGGTGCAGGCAGAAGGCGCACAACACCTGTAAAATACCAAATGCAAAAAAAAAAAAAAAAACACCGAACGGTGCGCGTTAATTCGTTTGCCCGGCATCTATGTCCGTCTGCGCCGCGGCAGCAGTGTTACGGGACACATCTATTTATACATGACGGGGATTTCGTCCCTATCGCGTACCTTTCTGTTCTCGACGTCGTCCTGTTTGACGGCCGACGCGTCGTGGTCGTTCTCCATGGCTCCCTGCGACACCAGTATCTCGTAACACTCGGCGTGATTAATCCGTATGTGGTCCAGGGCGCCCTGTCTGTCCAGGTAGCTGCTGTCGCACAGGTGACATTTGAAACAAGGTTCGGACCCGGTGCCGGTAATGGTGCCAATGGTGCCGGTGCCGGCGACTGCGGCGGCGGCGGCGCTTCCCCCGGCCAACGTGGTCCCGTAGTCGCGTTCCGACTCGCCACCGTCGTCGGTACCGTCGCCACCGCGTTCGTCGTCGTCGACAGAACCGCCGGCGCCGTTCTTGTCGAAGTGCACCCGATTTATGTGACTGATCAGGTTTTTGCGTTTGGAAAACGACGTTTTCGGGCACGACGTGCACTTGTACACGTTTTTCGAATCGGCGGTCGTCGCGGCCGCGGCGGTAGCGGCCGTCTCGTTGTCGGACGACGCGGCCGATTTACTCGGTGGCGTGCAGTGCAAGCGCAATATGTGCCGGTCCCGGTTCGACTTGGTCGAGAACGACAGCGGACAGTGTTTGCACTGGTACGGTTTTTCGCCGGTGTGCGTGCGGATGTGACGTTTCAGCGACGACGTCCACGGGAACGACAGATAGCAAAACGGGCACAGCACCCGGTTGGGCGCGGCCGCGTACGCGCTCACCTTCTTCCGTTTTTCCCGGCTCTCGTCTTTGTCGTTGTTGAAATTGATGTCGGTGTTGCTGTTGCTTATATTAATGGCACTGTAAGGGAGGGGGAAAAAAAAATAACAATAAGAAATACGAAATACAACATCGAAACGGTGTGCTTCGAGAGCTACGCGATCGTGAAAACCGAACTTACCCGGAACCGTCGTTTTCGGAATAACTGGCGCCTTCGCTGTGTTCCTCCTCACTGCTGGTGGCCTCGTTGTGGTCTTCGTCGGACCGCGTGAACTGCGGAAAAGTTTGATGGGAGGCGTTATCCAGTAATCTGGAAACGCTGGCCAAATCGGCGGGTTCGTCTTTGATTTCGGTTTTGACGACGACGTTGTCTTCAACAATGACTAGCTTGTCCTCTTCCGCGACGTCGTCTTCGTCGTCTTCCTCGTCGTCCATTTCGTCCTCTTCGATCCGGTGCTGCTGCAGCAGCTCCGACGGCTGCCGACATTTAAGCGACAAAGCGATTTTGACCTGGTCTGATATCGGCGTCAAGTCCTGCTGTTTCTGTTTGACAGCCGACGAAAACTGCGGCTCGGACTTTGCGGACAACGACCTGGGCTTTTTGTGCCAGTCGGTGGGATGTTGGTTTTTGACGTGCCGGTCGCGGTTCGACTTCAGCGTGAAAGCTCGTTTGCAGGTCTCGCAAACGTGCGGTCTGTCCGTCCTGAACCGTCGCTGCTTGGGCACCAGAATACCGTTTTTCATCACCAACCGAAGTCCGTTGGCGTCGTTGGATTTCGTAGGCGCAACGTCTGCCGGTGCGGCCGACGCCGGCGGTGCGGCCGTTATCGTCGGCGGGGAGCCTGCGACCGCGGACGAGGGCTCGGGCGTCTTGCAGCGTTTTCGGGGCGGACTGACGTCACGCGGCGACTCTCGGGCCGCCGGTGGAGGTTCGTTCATCTGCATGGCGCGAATCATGTCGACGGCCAGCGGAATGGGCAGGATGCGTTCGCCGTTCGGGTACATGCCGTTGAAGAACATCCTGTGCTCGTTGAGGAAGTACGCGTGCAGTGGTGTCGGTATGGGGAGGTCCATGTAGCTGGCCGGCGGAGGGTGGGCAGGGACGAACCGGTGTTCTCCGTGGACCGTCGCCGGTTTCACGCCGCCACCGCCGTCTTCTTCGTCGGTGCAGTTGTCGGACGACCGCTTGCTGTTTATGGACAGGTCTTGCGGCAGTTCACTGCAGTCGAAGTCCGGCTTGAAACGTTTCACGCTCAAGTCGAGGGGTTCGTCGTAATATTCGTCCTCGTCGTCTTCCGAACTCTTTTGGCCCGCGGACGATTCGTACTGAGAATAGTCCGTCGACTTCTGATGGCGGTCATGATTGTGATGGCGGTGCGATTCTTCCGGCTTGCCGCCGTAGACGACCTGCACCACCTCGTCGTTGGACGACTGCGGCGCCGCCGGTTTCTCGTCGTTCTTGAACAATATCGACATCTTCACTTCGTCGTTGGACGCTTTGTGTATGGTGCGCAGGTGTCGCTCGCAATTGGCCTTGGTGGTGAACGCGTACGAACACTTTTTGCACACGTACGGCGTCTCGCCGGTGTGGCCCTTCATGTGGTGGTTCAAGGAAGCTTTTTCCGTGCTGGCGAACTCGCATATGTTGCACGCGTACAGGCCGTTCGTGGACTTGTTGTGGCTGGA